ATGCAAGGGATCAATAATTAATATTTTATTCCCATCTGATATCCTGATAGTTACAAGCTTATTTTTTTAGGTACTGTGGTATAGTCAACAAGAAAATGTATTTTAGGGTAGTGCTATACTCTAACGGTCAAGATCTTTAACCATTTGTTATTTCTTACAAAATACCAAAATACAATATAACACGTGGTCACATTGTTCACCAATTCAAAAGTTCAAAGTAAAACTTGTATTTTAAATATTACATAGCACCAATTTGGAGTTGCCATCGCGGTGGTGCTCACGGATTGTTACCCAGGATGTGCAAGGCTGAACTAGGAATACTATTCGTAAGTCAACAGGCTCATTTCGTATCGAATGTATTGCCGTTAGTCTATAACATTTTTAGATCAAGTTACTTTGTTGTATTAAATATAAATTTACAACGTAACAGCTAGCCAAATTTCCCAAAACAGGTAACGCCAGGCGGCACGCTTTATCAATTACACACTAAAACCTTTGTCTTATTGTCTCGTAATAATTCTTCTATTGTTCAGTTATTAAAAAAAATGAAAAGAATTTTGGCAGTTTCGAAGACAATGATAACATTATAGCCGAGTAAGTAATTTTTTTTCTAATTTTAAATTTTTGGTAGTTAGGTTTATGTTCGGCACGCTTTTGACTTTGCAAATTCCTTTATTACCTTTACCATGACGTTCCTTGTCTTGTATGCAGGCTGTGAATTTCGGGAGAATCGCCTGAGACAATATGGTTGTTTTGAGTGAGTGAGACGTTTTGTCGCTAGAGCCACTGCACCGTGACGCACTCCTCACCTCTCTTTCGAAATATTTATACGGAGTAGAATAAATCAATCTAATAAAACATCAAGGGGGCCTTAAACGCTTAAGATAGCTAATATTACTGAAAGGATATATTCTTTTATTTTTCTTAATATAAATAAATGTATCCACTGATTTTTTGAAAAGCTGTTTGAACTGGGAATTAAACCAACAAAAATAAACACTCTCTATTTTATTATACTAATCAATAGGATCAATAATAAGGATGACATCTCTGCAATAAACATGTGGTCTCACATTAAAGATGTCCATGAAATCTAATGTTACTATCGACTTCATTTATCATAAACACAATTCTGCTATCTCTAATGTTATTTAAACATAAACGACAAAAAATTAATACATAAGAAATGAAGAAATTATAAATTTCCTTGGATAGAAAAGGAGGCTGAGTGAAATGTTACCTTTTCGTAATAAAAATGTACATTCTCCATACTGCCAGTTTAGTTCAACAAGAACTCAACAGATGGCGTTACGAGTCTTTTTACGTAGAAATTGAGTTCTAAAACATACATTTTTTTAAATATTGTTTCGTTTTATTTTTTTTAAGTAATAATTTGTTTTAATGTAATAATATTTATTGATTTAGCATGTAATATATATGTATGTTTATCAATACCTTTTTACAATATTGTTGTTAAATATCTACGAAATCAGTCGTCATTCTATTCATATTCAATACCAATAAATTTATTCGTGGTGAAAACAAAACCATTGTACTATTTCGGTCAGTATAATATACTATGACATTTTATTGTAATTGCTTCGTTAAAGCCTTCGATGATTAGAAGAATGACAGCTACTTACGCCACATAATAAGTTTACGAATTCAGAGAGGAAATGCCGTCAAAAATTGATTACATCTCTAATAAATTAATGAATACGGTGTGATATTAAATAATGTTAATTTAAATAAAGAAATAATTAGGTAGCTAGGGAATGAGATACCTACGAGTAGAAGCAAGAAACAACATCTCGAAAACAATGGAGGAGCAAAGGGGAAGGTAGGAGGAAAATAAGGCCAGCATGGACGAAGAACCCAGAAAATGAGCAAATTAATTTAAAAGAAGTATAAGGACGTCGAAGATAAACCTTCGTAGAGCTAGCTCTCAAATCAAGAGAGAGATGTTAAGGTTGAAGAATTAAGTAACTTGGAACTTTGCGTAAAATGATTTCAGTTTTGTAGTGTTATTTACTTAAAACAGGATTTTAATGTAATTTGTTTTTACACAGTTAAATCTTATAAGTGTTTCTTATTAGAAATGGAAAGATAAAAGTTAAAGTATTTTATAAATGTAGTTAAAAAAGAATGAGTTTCATATTATGTATTGTACAATCATTCAATTTTTTTTAAATAATTTTGGCCAGCATTTGCTACGTTTATGTCTAATATTGAAGGTAATAAATATTATGATGTTTTACTACCATGATATTAATTTATTTTCGTGAAATGACTTCACTGGTGTGTTATAATTATTAAATCAAGGATCAAACACAAAGAAAAATTTATTCAAACTGGCTGAGATTAGAACTAGAAGTAAGAATGTATGACAATGCAATTTGACAGCTTTGAAGTCCGTCTTTTCGTTCCATATGTCATCCATACTGGGAAAACGGCAATAACTACGGACTTCATGCTTCGAGAGCAGGGGGTCTGCTCTCTGTCTCTGTCCGATGTCCGGCCGAAACAATTACTGTCAAATAAATAATACTCGACCTAATTAAAAATACAATGTCTATTATGAAGCTTTATTCGCACCATGCGTCTCTAAATTTAGTCAAGTATTATTTATTTGACAGTAATTGTTTCAGAGTACAGGACCTAGGTCCATATAGATCGCAGTCCAGGGCAACTATCCTGTCAGATCGAATGATTTTTTTTTGTGTTCAATTTTTGTATTGATACATCGGGGTTATGGTCCTTATTTCGTCTCTATTTCTGGTTATATACTCGATGTATTGATATTTTGTATTTGTCAATCATTGTCAAACTCTAACAAAATTAACAGGTGTAGATAGATGTATCGATTTTTATTTCTACAATAATCTGAAAATGTTTGTGTTCAGTTGTTATTCTCTTCCCAGTGAAGTCTACCATCAAAAATCACCGGTCAATTAGAAGGTAGCCCAACAGACGCGAGTTGCAAACTTTGGCAAGCCAAACTCACTGCTCCTCTTAATTTATTACCCCAGCCGAAAGCCTTCCCTCTGCGCACGAGTTGCAGTGGTCAGTATGAAAATCCCTTAATCGTTTCAGATCACAAGTTGGCCAATGTAGAGACGACATGGTGAAATGGGGATTTATCAATCCGACTCAAAACCATTGTGCTTGCGGATCCTCCACACAAAGTATTATTTTTTATTTATTTCTTTATTATTTATTTATTGTAAATGTATTTACAAGGTATTATAATTAAGACCTAATGCACCGTGAAAACGAAGATAATTATAAAAAAAAAATAATAAAATTTAAAAAAAAAGGAATTAATAATGACATTAACAGACAGATGAAAAATATCTCATACATATACACTCGACTCCCAAGCATCCATTATTTCACAGAATCTCAAGCATTCACAACATACAGCAACCCATCGCCACGCAAGCAAATCACACCCCGGTGCTGATGCCAAGAGTTCGTTGAGCATTGCGAGGGCACGGAGCAACGGCGAGCTCCTATGCGATTCTGTACGCGCAAAGGGCACAGCGAATAGTTCACGACGTCGTTTTCTAAGAACTATTTTAGGGACATCTGGGGCAAATAGCCTTACTAGTTGCCCCATAAGTTCAGGACAATCCGATTCGCCGTGTAAGACCTGACAAACACAGACGAGTAAGTATATCTCACTTGCTCTAATACCCACTGTGTCCGACCATTCGCACCCGCGAAGACCTGCCAAAGGCAAAAGATAGTGGCATAGAGGTGGCTGCTTACTGGGCCAAAGAAATATAACACTGGTTTTCTGCTGGTCTTTGGCATTGACTCGGAAAGAAGAAGACCGGTCAATTTATTTTATAATTACCAAGTGACGGTACGACAAATCGTATGCCAGCTTGTAAGCGACACGCATATCCAAAATAAATCACAAGGATCTGAGGGGCACTGCCACTGCGTCCGTCACTCTGAGACATAACTTGACAAGTCTCATATCCCTGGAATTTCACCAGCACCCCTTCTTACTCTTCAATACCGGAACACAGTCATGCTCATATTGGTGGCAGTATTTCCCTGAAAGAACTCTCTAAGCTCTAAAAGTTACTAGTTGCTCCAAACTTCTCGTAAATGATCTTAGAAGACAGGTAAGGGATAACCAAGAGATGCAAACAGTGCATCCAATGAGGGTATAAATAATCGACTCGCAACCAATTTTTACGACAAGGCTTTCTTTGTGGACAAAGATACCTTTGTTCAGTATGTGTTCATATACACTATAATAGCCTGAAGTTATTAAACTAGCCTAATCCACTATTGTCAAAAGGGATTTAAATTTAGTTCGAAATGATTTCAAAATCTGCTAAAATTTCTTAGCGCTTAAACAATTTTACTTGGTACTTTTATCAGTGAAGATATAACGATTTCTTAATAGAAATTACATTTCACAACCAAATGAATAAAATTGATCAAGCGCACATCGGCTTTGTACTTTGAATCGTTCTTATAAGCTTTATAGGGTTGAATTTTAATTTTCAAGCTCGACGTGCTCTTGTCCACGTACCAGTTAGCGGGAAAAGGTGATTTATGTGGCCTTTTTTGATACATTATGGATTTAATGCAAGAATCCACCATGTGTTACATTATTTGTAGATTGACAGCAATAAATAAAATATTGTAAAGTGTATGAAAAGTCGTTATTAAACAACACTTAATAGTGTAGCCCAATGTATAAGTAACATTCTTGCCTTTCTATTACCGCGGTTACATCACGCATAGAGCTGCCTAAGCTCGGTACAGGCCTCTAAACAGCTGTACGACCGCGGGGTGATATTGTTGCGGGAGAGACGAAACATACACGTCACCACGTAAGTTAGAAAGAAACGGCATGATCCTCCGAGGAGGGGCGCAGGCTTTACAAATCGCGCCGTTATTGGCCGCCGCCACGCCGCCCCAAGCCGCGCCCCCCGCACACCGAGACCTACGAGAACACCAAGTGAACTCGTCAGTCCACCGCTCGACTTCGACGCGACTTAACCGCCTGATCGACTGTGCTCATTCACCGCTTTGTGCCATACAACACCATAGAGCTAATGCTCTAATAGAACTTTTGATAAGTTTTATTCAAAGTCCATTCAATATGTCAACACTGAGTCATCATCCGTACGCGTTTACCATGCATCACGGCATGCTGCCGGAGTACCCGAGCGCGCCGCAGCCGCTGCCTGCTTCCTCTCCACAATCAGAGGGTCACATTAAGAGGCCGATGAACGCCTTCATGGTTTGGTCCAGGCTGCAGAGACGGCAAATTGCGAAGGACAATCCGAAGATGCACAATTCAGAGATTTCTAAACGTCTCGGAGCTGAATGGAAGCTGTTAACAGAAATGCAGAAAAGACCATTTATTGATGAGGCGAAGAGGCTGCGGGCCCTCCACATGAAGGAACATCCAGATTACAAGTATAGGCCGCGTAGGAAGCCAAAACCACCTACACAGGGTGGAGCGCCAGGTGCCGGTGCATTCCCGAGTTTCCCGCTTCCGTATTTCGCCGGCCCTGCTCCCGGCGTCGGACACTTGGACGCATTGCCGTACCCCACAGTGCCACCATACTTCCCACATCAACTGGATCATCTGCAGTTTTCGAAACTCATGGCGCCGACGGCGGAGAAATTGCCGACGGTGTCGTCATCGGCTGCAGCAGTCGTGTCATCGTTCTACTCTTCGCTGTACACGTCGCCTGTGGCGCAGCCCAAACCGTTCTCATCAGCATTGTTCCATCAGTATGGAGCTGCGCCTTCTTCACCAGTGTCACCTTCAACCCCGACGCAGCACAGCCCCCACGATGACCAGTTGCGGAGGCCGGTCTCCGTCATATATTGAAGGCCGACTTGCCTTCCTTGAAGGATCCCCGCCCTTTGAGGACGGCAATGCAACATCTAGTGTTAAGGACAGTGAAACTTGAAGTCTTATTAATTTTATTTATTCTAGAGTTAGAGTTGGATTTGTAAATCGAGTGAATCTCATATCAGTGACCTGTATATATGTTGAGAATTAAGGTAGGCCGTCGGGGTCGCGTATTGAGTTTAAACTGTGATTTTTGTTTTTGATGCATCTTTATATATATAAGGTAACGTAGCGCCGGCTTGTTAGTTATGTGAAGTGAGATTGGTACCAAAAAGAGATTTATTTCCGTAGGTATCACTACATTTAGCTGAATATATAAGATTTGCGCTTTCCTGATTTACGTTTTTGTCATTGCGTGAGTCAATTTGTTGAGTTTGTTTGTTTCTATGATTCTGTGGCGTGTCTCGCTTTACTTTAGAAATCAGTGTATTTTATTTATTGACTCCAAGCGTAGTATAGTTGTAATTGTAAATTAGTTAACTAAATTATAAGTTATTAGCGTCACAGCTGTAAATATTAGTAACTAAATTAAATCGATGTCAGTACCAACGATGTATTATAATAGTATTTGAGGAAACTTTGTTAATGCCATAAAATAAACACTAAATTGTTTTTATTTAAATATTTTGTTTTCTTGTATTACCTTTAGATAAAAATTGGCTCAATGCGTTCGAGATATTCTGAACTGAAGAGTTCATACATAATGTTTAACAAAGTAAACGCTGGACTAGATAATAAAATTAACAAAGCAAATATTTAATTTTCATAAATTAAATCGTTTTAAAAACACGCGTCTGGGGTCAATTTGGACACTATAGTTAGGAGTTTTCACACAGTTCTTCTCTTAATGAGATGAAGTTCGAACAGTGATACCGTAAACTTGATATGTTTCATCGTAACGGCAAGGAAGATATACTTAATTATCCTCTGAATATCTATTATGGATACTAACAAAGGAGTAGTAGCTAATAAAGTAGGCAGTTTACCAAGATCAATAAGTAGACAACGGATGAAACAACTGTTGACAGTGTATTTTTACACGAGTGTAGACTACAAGTTGGTACCATTCAAAACTAAACCTTAGCTACCACGGTTATGGATAAGATTGAATTATGGTTTTATAATTATTAATTTAGTTCTCCACATCAATAACTCTTTGGGAAAAGTTGGTAGTGAGCATTATTGCGTTCCGAGCGTTCTGAAACTACAGGTACAGGCATATGTGATTTGTCAGCTTTATGTCTCATGTGGCAGGAGCCCTTAGATCTTTGCGATTTGAGTGGCATATAGATAGGCGTGTCGGTTACCACTAGTCCGAGGACTTGTTCGTACAGACTCAAGGTAACCTAAAAAAGTAAATGTCTGGGACTAAATAGGATTTGAGAATTCTATAATGTACTGATGATTATAGCAGTCACTGCGTGTATCGTTATAACTGAGCTTTCTTAGCTTTTATTTGGTTTTATTCACACAAATTCTGGAATCTGTTGAATTATTGCCAATTCTAGCTATCAATAAACTGTTGTTATATTATTTTTTTTCTGTTTTCACCCATTTATTTGGGTAGGCAAAGGTTTGACCATACTGCCTCTTCATTTGTTAATATTTTTTTATTGTTTTGGTGGAAAATGCGACAAGCGCCTGTTTTTAATTTATTTCATAAGTCATGGAGGGATGATATATTCTACAGATTCATTGATCGAAAGAGTCGCCAATGAAGTCTCTCTAATTTGGATGTGACCATGTCTTCTTTTTAAATTTTAAAAGAATTTGACCACTATCCAATCCTGGAGGAAAGATGATGTCTATGGAATATATAAAACTTAAGCTAGGAATAAGCAGATATTTGGGCATTATTATATTAAATAATGGAAAAGATAATTTGAATATGCTTAATATACAAAAAAAAGAAGAAATCCAGCTTTAACTCTGTTAAATAAGATAGAAAATTTCATCGTGAACTGGTTGATCCAACTCGTTGTTGGAACTTAGTGATAGGGTTTGCAAGAACGGAGTGTTCGTTTTACAATTATTATTTGTTACTTTCAAGTTATCTTATATTAAGTAATTAGGTGCAAAAGGACGAGTTTCTTATTGGTAAGTTCCTTCAATAAACAAAGTTAAAGGAAAACTGAAAAATCTTTATTACGAAGGGGCTATAGTGAACAAATATCAACTAAATAACCTTTTTTTTTTAACTAAATAACCTGACTGTCTAGGATTGAGGAAAGTAACTCAATACACATTTCATAAAGGTAACCCTAAACTAGCATTACAACAAAATTAATAACAAATTTACTATTCTATAAGAAAAATAGAGCCACAATTCTGATAATTTTAATTAATCCCATCATAGAGTCTCAATGGCAGGATTTTGTACGTTTGATATTCTGCTAAAAATTAAGAACAATGGCTAGCCATCGAGCTACTATTGAACTGCCATAGCTATATGCCATGCCATACCATAGCATATAGCATTTTTTGGTATTCTGCTCTTCGATGGCGAGTCGATGGCGTAGTTTCCAATTACGTGACCTAAAAAATACATTCCATACATGATACCAAGCCGACTCGCCCACGGGCGGCCTTGTTATTCCTGCATTTTCGAGATAAAAGCATCGCTGATAGGGTATAACCATATAATACCATTTTATTTGGGATTTAGTAAAAGAATTTTGATATTTTAATTATTTATCTTGTTTTTATGATATATTTATTTACATATTAATCATAATATATAATAACAGTAATGTAGCAGTATTTATAATATTTCGCGTTTATTGCTGGCGTCGAGCGCTACGGGCTTACTGGAAATCAGCGCTGTGATAAATAAATTACTACAGCTATATATTATACTGATATAAGTCCCGTGTTGGTATGACGCTACAACACAGACCATACTCTATCTACTTCGCATTTTTGTTCCAATTTCAATTGTAAGTATATGTCAAATAATTATTTGCATGTAAACTGTTTTTAGTGTAGTTTCGTGTTGTTGTATTCGTGCCAATAAAAGTCTGTCTAGGTCTATGTCAGTATAGTAAGAGAGCGTCGAAAGATGATATGACAAGGATTGAGAGAGGGATGCTTCGATGGTTTGGTCATGTTGCAATTGGCCGCTGATGGCCTTGACTGCGCCACCGGAGAAAAGGGCGAGCTGAAGGCTCATAACCCCTAAAATAAACTTAAAGCTAAGTAGCGGGCCTGAGCGCGCCCAAGTGGGCACGGACCTCGACTCAGGGCGCTACTGGAGACTTCCGCCAGAAGGGCGTGCTGTAGGAGAGAAATGAGTGTTGGTAGATTGACGAAACAAATTTATAGAGCGAATGTGGATGGAAGCGTGTGGAGAGGTAGACCTGGGCGAACATATCTCAATATTAAAAAGGGACGGGTTGAAAGCACCAATAATAAACGGGCATATATGAAGAGATTGATGGGAGTGGAGAAGGCGAAGGAGGTTTGTCGGGAGCGTAGCAAGTGAAGGTCCATAGCCTCCGCTTATCCCGGTGGGAGACAGGCGTGATGATATGTAATTATGTCGACGTTTATTAAATTGCTGAACGAGATGAAAATTATTAGTAGTTTTGGTAAGGTAAACATAATTTGGTAAGGCGATCGTTAGTGATTGGATGAATGAGTGCCATCATTGCCATTGCAACTAGATTTGAGCACAATAACAAATATTATCATAATTGCAACTGTTGCAGTAGAGCCTCAATGGAATTATAATAACCAGAGGTTTCAAAAAAAATTAGTCGTTTTGCGTCTCAGGTGTTATGATGTTCAAGTAATTGTTTGTCTCTGACATCATAGCTTTCTTAAAGGACCACAACATCATTTCTTTTTCTTTTTTAGTTTGTAAAAAGTTTACAAAATGAAACACAAAACAGCGAATAAAAACCATTAAAATATATTTATGTATCGCTGCCATCACATGCCATCAGGCGTCTAACAATAGAATTAATATCTAATACTTATACTTATCCAATAATTTACGCTACTTACACTTAAAAACTAATTATTATTATTATTAAAAATAAATGATTAAGCCTAAGAATTGTTTTTCGTGAACGGTTTCGTAAAATTGCAGGTAAATTAGACCTGTCAATTTACGTCTCAAGGTGACAGGCGCAGTGGCAGTTTCCCTCAGATCTTTGAAAAAAAAATTCGGATTGCCTTTGTAATAATCACACATATTACATAAATTACTGTAGCAGTTACATGTATTTAATATCTTCCTTTTATTTTTAACCGATTTCAAAAAAGGACGAGGTTCTTAATTCGACTGTATGTTCTTTTTTTTTGTATGTATGTATGTTACGCGATAAGCCCGGTATTTGTGAACCGATTTTCATGATTCTTTTTTGTTTGAAAGGGGGTACTTCCATAGTGGATATCGAGATATAGAGTCTATCTCATTTTATTTTGAAGAAAATCATCCACCTCTAAGGATGGCTGTTCACGCATGAAGATTCATTTTTATAAATAGCGCCTAACTTTAATTTAGGAGCTATTGTTTTAATGGTTGATTTTGCTATTCTCCAATACAAGGCGTTTGTCTCTCCATATACTTTGAGTAGTGAGAACCGATTTTTATTATCTCCAGGGTCGTAGTCCTGTATAGTGGCGAACTAGGGGATATTTCAATAAAACTTAGCAAATAGACGTAATTCCACGTACTTGTGAGGTCCGTTTTCTTAGTACTCTGTACTGAGATTATGTTTGTTAATTTTAATTTCTCTCATTTATTCCTTAATTATTTCAAATTCTTGAGTGTGATTGTGGGAAAACATTAAACGTTTTATCTTTCCATCTATTTCTAATATCTTTTTTTTGTTTTCCTTCGTACCGCAAGGAACAGGCGAAGGTCAGAGACCACACTGCCTAGTCATTCGTTTCTGTTTTTCTTCAGTACAAAATGTTTTGATGTAAGTCTACAGTGTAAGATCCTACAGTTTAATTCTTTTGTATTTCAGTAAGATTAAAAAGAGAGTAAAAATATCTGTCGAATTGTTGGTATATAGTCAGAAATTCAACGCTACTGGGCAGTGCTTTGCCTTGCGTTGTGGGTGGTTGCACTGAGTCGGCCACGTGTAAGCTTTTAGGAGAGGTTTTAGATCATAGTTCGTCATCTCTGTGGACGGAGACTAAACATGTTTTCAAAAAATTTTATGAACTTTCTCTAACATGCAGGTTTCAGTGTGATTTATCGCCAAGTCAAGGTGGTACTATCAGCAAAGTTGACGCCTTACCACCTTAAGGATTCTTTTTGCGTGCAATCAGCTGTTTTTGTCAACTGATTGCGTTTAAGGGATATATTACTTTTATTAAAAGGATCAATAAAATGAGGATCGAGACTCAACTGTATATGATGATCTCCGTGATTGAGTGGGTTGCACACCGGTTCATAGTGTCGCCATCTCTGAGGTCCCGGGTTCGATCCCGGCCGGGTCAATGTGGAAAACTAACTTTTCTATACACAAATTCTATATACAAACATGACTCGATTCTGGTGTTAGTGGTACCGTCGTAGTTTCCGATTTCCGAAACACAAGTGCTTTAGTTACATACATATTTTGAGATCA